TATCCCTCCTAGCATGTGTTACACTCCAACCAGTGCAAATATAGGGCACCTCTACTTTAAAAGCTAGGTTGTTCTCCATAATATCATCTTCTTCAGGAACTAAGCACATAGGAAAAAGTCTAGTGGGAGCGCTTTATCAACATATGAAAAACGAGATACAGATGAAAGGGTGAGATGAAGTATTGAAGTGAGACGAAATAATAAGATATGCTGGCCAAAATTTAAACACCAGGCCTAAAACACATTATACATCCCTTCTCAAGTCTACTTTTGTAACTCCATCTTCAATAAAGAGGTTTTAGGTCAGGTAGCTTCACTGGAAAGCTTTCCAAGCTGTCAGAAATGAGAGTATTGTGGGGCTTCAGCCTAGATTTGCAACAAGTTTGAAAAATAGTTCTATTAGGCACAGATTACTGCAATCATCTCATAAGCATTTGACTGAGGCATCCAGTTATGATGACTCAGTAACAATTTTATTATTGGACAATGCACTCAAAGAAATGGAGAAACGCACTCGCGTGTCCTGTTGCACTCATGCACCCATATGTCCCACTGACCTGCGACAGTACCCTGGGGCCACATTCCTGCATGCGCATCAAGGGTGTCCAAGGAAAGAAAGACAGGATTACACCCAGCACATTTGCCTTCCCTCAATGCTAACTAGCTGTGAAGGTGTCACAGTCTTTAGCAAATTTGAGGGAAAAATTCTGCCTTTGTAAAATCCTGAAACAGTTCTCAAGCTGTAGAATCAACACATAGCTTTTAGAGATTAGGGCCAGGATTTCTCTCCCAGATATCTAGAAATCTGGGCGGACATATATGAAAAAATGAAATATCTATTTGGTTTTCAAATGCAGAGCGCCCAGCAATGGCAAACTTGAATTCATCTCTGCTCAGCACTGAAGAGCAAGCATCATTTAAACAACTCAGCATGGACATTTTTCAGTAATATGGCTTTCATCGATTCCTTTATGATAAGGCCAGAAGAACCAACCGTGATGTGACATCCACTGTAAGACAGGCCACAGGATTGCCCTGAATGGGATTCCCTGAAGGGAATCTTATTGCAACTACCTCACATCCTTTAGAAGAACATCCAGACCCACATTTAAAAACTGACAGCAATAAAGAATCCATCATCACATCTTGATAAGAGATTCCTGCAAGTTTTGTTTCACGATTGAATTGGCCTAGCATCAGTGACAACTTCTGTTCCTTGCTCCCTCAGGCACTTAAAACTTCACCTTTAGGAACTGATTCTAGAGTCTTATGTTTAAAAATCTCTGCAAGGTATTACATCTAGTCAGTTTGTGAAGGATTTAGAAAATAACTTTTTGTTGATAGTAAACAGGCAAAATCCAAATGTTTAAAATTTCCTTTTAACTCTAAACTTTCCAACTTGAACTCTTTGAAGACGTCTGAATTATTTCCTACCT